GGAATACGGATAATACGCGTCTCTCGAGCGCGACGTTTCGGAAAGAGGCCATTTTGTCGGGTCTCGCCAATGTCGGGAGAGAGAGAAAAGAAGAGAGGGGGGAGAGAGGGACTGAGAGAGAGAGAGAGAGAGAGTTCGGTGGCCGAACGGAACGGCAATACGGACGAATTTACGAAAATGCCGAATTAATTGTGCCGGACAAGCGACGTCAATCCATCGAAAATCCGCGGTACGATTAATATTCGTCGCGTGCGAAGCGAGATTATCAGTGTTCATTTTTCGTACGACTTTACATGATGATATCCTATCTCACATACCGGGGTAGAATTGTTTCTTCTTCGGTAATCATAGTCGGTTTATCAATTAGTCCTCGAGTCTCTTCCTGCTTCTCCTTTTTTACCTCCCTTCCACTCATCCTCTCTGCCACTACCTTCTCCCTTGAGATTGCTCGCTACCCCTAATTCGGCGAGCGAACGTGTAAAACGGACTAAACTTCGACGAAAAGGTGGAGATACGCGAAACAGTTAGAGGAGGGGGGCAACGAGTTGGCGATATACATGCGTGTAAGTACATCGCGTTTATTGTACCGCCTGATATAATGGTGCGTCTTCGCACGAGTGCGAGCGCGGCAGTCAATGTACCCGCGAATCTGTGTAACATGGCTCTGCTAAACATTGTTATATTAAAGGCGTCCCTTTTTTTTTCCCGCGACCCTTCCCTTCTCTCTCCTGAATAGACTTTTATGACAACCACGATATAAGATAATCGATGACTTTACAAAATTTTCAATTACATTTATACAGATGAGTATATTAAATTAATCAAATGAAATTTACATCGTACGATAATATAAATTTCCTCCTTATACTGAGCAACGAATTTATTAGGAATTACTCTAAAATTTCCGTATTATATTTTATATTGTTCCATGTAAATCTTCATAATTGTCTTCGTTTTTCTTCTGCATTTCTATTTCATCACTTTAGTAATGAATATGAGTTTCATATTAATACGTTTGTAAGAGATACAATGTTTATATATCGATTAATTGTCGCTACCAAACCTATGTACATTTTTGTTGTCATACTTGAACATATTCCCATATCGGGATTAACTTGATCGGAATGTTCTCTGATATGGTGTCCACCGCACGAAGAAAATTCGAATGTCGACCGTCGAGATTTCGGAAATTACCGGACCTGAAATTTGCCCGCGTGTAACGCCGACAATTGGAATGCCGCTAGTCCAGATACGGGTTTCGGCGAATCGATCAATCGATCCCCCTTTCGCGTCCACGGTGCGACGAAGAGGATACTATTCCTCGGATTGAGATGAACGGAGAGAGAGGACGAGGGAATGCGCGTGTCGCCGTCACCATCAGCGCCGCGTGTGCGAACCTGTAAAGCGAGAAGTGGGAAAAAAGATAGAACAAGAGAGAGAGGAAGGGAAGAAGGAAGAACGTAGAGAGAAAGAAGGGATCTCTCAAGCGCCGCGACATATCCGCTCGATTTACTTTCCCGACTCCCTTCTGTCTTCCTGTCCTCCCGGCTACTCCCGTTTTCTCACTGCACAAAGGCCAAGCGAGAACAAAAAAAGACTCGCTCGTCCGTGCGATTCGCGCGAGTATGCACCGCGAGCGCAATTATACAGCGAGCATTCTTAGACCCCGGGGTGCCGCTGGTGGTGGTGGTGATGATAGTGATGGTGAGGCAGTGATGAGTGATGGTGCTACTTGAGTGTCGCCGCCGACGACACCGTTAGGAAAGAAGAGAGAGCGAAAAAATTCTAGCCTACGTGCACATATCTTCGTTGCTGCGTACCGGTCATTTGCGCGTGGTCGATGATTTCTTTGCGGCCGTACGGAAATATGTATAGAGATGTTGAAAATATTCTGGTGAGAAAAATTCTCTCATTTCAAAGTCACTGACTCATCAAACGTCCCTCGTATAATATCTGTGGGCGGTAGCGTCTGTGAGTTCTTGCGTTTTTACACTGTCACTAATTATGCATTTCTTCACGAAAAGAATTTTAACCCGGTCATATAACAATATGACATTTTTTTCATTTTTCTCCCCTCTACCACCTTTGTGAGATCGTTCCAAAGAGATGCGTATCACTGATTGATAGAAGCAAATAGAGTTGGGGAGAAAGGTTAAGAAAATGAAGAAAAGATGGAAAAAGTTCTTTTTGGACCTTCTTACTTCCGAAAGTTGACCTGCGGCGTTGTTGTTTCCTGACGCGGAAATTTGTCCGTTTGCGGAGCGAGTGAATTTAGGGTGCTACATAGTGGTCTAATAACAAAGGGGTTGTACGGGCGTAAGGGGAATAGCGCTCGGATGTCTGAGAGGGGGAGTATCCGCGATTCTCGCGAATGTTTCGTCGCTTTGCTCCGCGGTCTCTCCTTTTCTCTTTCTCCCAGGATTAGCGATATTATCGGGATAGGCCGTGGAAAAGAGACGGACAAAAAGGAAAAGAAAAAGATAGTTGAGCGCATTAAAACGTAAAGTACTGGAGCAATAGAAATGAAGACGCTAGGAGAGATGACAAAGAGAGATAGAAGAGAAAATAGACGATGAGAGAGGGGAGGAGAAAGCGGAGGACTAGAGTTCGCGGACAACGGACGAGGGAAGGCGGTGACCCGCGATGCCTGTCTGCCGCGCTGGCCGCATTTCAGACCACTTCAGAGCGCTCCTCTATGCTCGGTGTTATGCTATGCGTTCGTTGTTGACGGAGAGTCTTGGGTCCCCGACGTATCTCGTGCCCAACGAGTCGTCTGGCGCGATGCGCTGTGAATCGCGGGAAATGACATTTTTCCGCAAGCCTATTTGCCCGAACCATTATTTCGACATGATGGAGAATTTCCGATTAAGACGTTGACCACAGTTGAATGACGCGAGGGCTGTTTCATCATGAGAGACAGACGTTTTACTTGCCTGATTAGGATTATGATTTTACTCAGTTTCGAGATGAATTTGATTTTGAAAATTTACGCGTTGTGGCAAAATGTTTATTTTGATTTTCGAGTTAGAGTCGCATTTCTTGCCGAATTATTTGCAACGTTTCGTGAATACACGTCAGTTTACTCAATTCAGTTTCATTAAAAAGAAATATTTGAAAAAGTATCGAATGGAAAATAATAAATTATCAATAATATATCCCAGGAAGAATTTGGACTTGTTGAGACTCGGGCGTGAATTTAACGTGGCAGCTCAGTTGAACATGAAGTTTTCGGCAAGCTTTCGACAAGTGTGTGTTTAAACATCTGTGGAAGAGCATTTTAACTGCTATTAGCTTGCTGAAAGTTGATTATGGACCAGTTGGGACGTTTGGAAGAAGCGGACAAATCTTTGCGGAGTTTTCTTTCTGCAAGCTGTCAGTATATATGCACAAAGAAAAAAAATTATCGCCAGCCGGGTCACCTCCATCCACCACTTCTGAATCGCGCTCAAAACTGCTTGACCTTGATAATCGGACGACAAGCCGTGAATTCACGTGGCTATGACAATACTCTTGTGACTTATGTTTATATATCTTTATAGTGCTCGAATTAAAATGTTGACTCGGAGAAGCGTTCGCGAAGCGAACAATTACATGTCGAGGTAGGCGTAAAGGAAATCCGCGGAAAGATTTCAATTGATAAACGCATTGTTCCAGTAGGTCATAATTAGCTTCTTCCCAATTTACTGGAAACTTCCACTGATCGTCTTCTTTTCGACTATAAGTCTACGTGTTGATGAAGAAATGACAATGGCGATAGAATGCGGCTGCAAATTATCATTTCGCGTTTACTTCGTTTCGTTCTTCTCGAAATTGGGCTAAAACGTCTGGGTCGTTCTCTCTCTCTACTCCTTCCTCCGACGTTTCGGACGTTATCCGATTGTCAGACTGTGTTTACCTCGAATGTGAGGTGTAACATGTGCGGATGTCAATTTAGGGATAGCTGACAACAACTCGAAAAGTCAATGAATGAACGGTAAACAAGAAGAAAATTCACTGTGCCGTTTTTCATTGGATTTAAACGCCACCGAAACCCCAAAAGGCGCTCCATCCATTCACGTGTCCAAGTTTATACGAAACAATCACATTTAACGTTAAGTAAACGGGATTGATGAGAGAGAGTACACAAGTCTTAACGAAAGTCACACGTCGTGAGTATAATTCTGCATATCTGCCAAGTCGCGAAACATTCACTCAGCAGGTAACAATTCTCGAGAACTTTTTATGGTTCAGAAAAAGAGAGAGAGAGAGAGAGAGAGAGAGAGAGGAAAAGCGAAAGTGAGTAAACCGTCGCACAAATCCTTCACGAAGGTTCAACATAGTGATATAGTTCCCTACAAATGCGCTCGGAAGCGCGCGCGTAAAACGCAACCCCTGCGATACGACCATCGTTTAACTTTGCTTCCGAGATGCGTCATCCTCCCCCGCGTCGTTCTTCACTCATTTTTCCTCCGGCCGTTCCGCTTCTCCACATGTGCGTAATCAACGTAATCGCCGATCAGAGTGACCGAGACGCGAAAGACGACACTGTTGTCGCCACCCTTCGCCTTCACAACGTTGTACTCCCATCCTGTTGGACGGAAACGGAGATCGCGCGAATAAATATGTTCGAGTCGTACTCGAGAATAACTATCACGACAGTTACTCCCGAAAAGCGGCGTTATTACTCTTCTCTCTCTCTCTCCCTCGCGTACGCACATTTTGCTTTTTTACACATAGCGCATATATATATATATATTTTTTTTTGCTTTCTTACACATAGCGCATATATATATATATATATATATANGGCAGGCAGGCAGGCAGGCAGGAAGGAGGACGAGCGGTTGGCGAGGGAGAAGATAAAAGCGATGGTGGTGCGAGGGAGAAACGGCGAACATGGCGAAGGAGAGCGGAGGTGGCGGGGGGCGGAGGGGGTGGTAGTGTAGCGGACGGGCGAGCAGCGTCAGTGGGCGCTGTGGCCCGAGGGGGTACGCGAGGGGAGGTGAGCGGGGTGTGCGGAAGGGACGAGGGACCAACGCGAGGGGGGAAAGCGAGGGGGAGACGTACCAGGGAGGACGGAGGTAATTTGAGCGTCACACGCCGAGCGAGCGGCAACGAACGAACGCCAGGCAACGTCTATGTGCTACATAAAGAGGGTCCCCCTCCCCCCGCAAGAGCGCGCGCGCGATCGCGATCGCGCTCGCTGCTTCGCTCGCTCGCTCGTTCATTCGCTCGCTCACTCTCGCGCCCTCGTCTCCCCTTGCTACCACCTCCTACCCGCGTCCTCTCCCTCATGTATCCAACCCATCGCGAACCTACGATGCGATGCGACCCATGTACAACGCGTCCCAAAAGTCCCGCGTTGCCTGCCTGCGTTGCCTACCTGCCTGCCTGCCTGCCTGCCTACCTGCCACTGGCTTGCCTCCGCTGGTTGTGCCGCTTCGCTGGAGAGAATCGCGCTTTCGTGGGATATACGAGGGACCGGGCGAAGCGCTAGCTGGGAAATGGCTTTAACCTAGGTTATCGAGAGAGAGAGAGAGAGGGAGGGTGGCCGGAAGGCGAGGCGATGTGAGACGAAACGAGGTGAAGCGAGGCAGGGTTGCGAAATTTTTCAGGAACCGGCAGGGTGGTCGGACGTGCGGTATAACGTTGAACGCGCGGCATTGTGGGTGTGGTTTTTGGCGGCAAAGGAGATCCTTGGAGAAGAAGGAGAGGAAGGAAGCGAAGAAAAGGAGAGACAAGGGGTGGAAGGACACCCAAAAGGATTACCGCGATCTCTCTCTCTCTCTCTCTCTCTATCTTTCTCTTTTTTTCAGTCTCTCCTCTTTACACTACGTTGACTTTCCACAAAGATACATTTTTCATGGTGGCGTGGATAAGTTTTAAGCGCAGCGTGCGTCCCGGGAATTCGCGCGCGCCGATATGGATATTCTTGCGTCACCGCGATGGTCTCTCGCGCGCGTACTCTTTTTATTCCATCTAAATATATAAGCCAGAAGGAAGTAACGCTGATGTCATGATGAACCGTATTGACGTTCGAGGTTGTGCGCCGCACGCCAAGTGTAATTATAATTGGAGCCTGTCACTCATGAAGTGATTTATTTTCAAGTATTCGTCTAATTAAGGAAAGCAGAGTCGCCTTATTATAGATTGTTTACCTCCCATGATGTGTGTGCGTGCGCGCGAGCGACTCGCCTTTACGTAACGTCAAAGTAATACACACTGTGTATCGACCTCATTTTTTCTGTTTTGCAATAATGCGAGTCGCGGGCATAAGAAATAAATACACGGTCTGTCCCAAAAGTTTTCGAATTTTCTTCCTACGGACGGTATTAGTGGCGCCATCTATACAAATAAGATTGCACTATTTTTGTTCACAAATTCTGTAAGTTGAATTAAGGTCCCTCCCACGGTTGTTTTACCACAAGTATAAAACCGACGTAACCGCGTGTGACGCTCACCGAGAAATCACGGATGGGGCAAATATCAAATTTTGTGTGAAATTGGGCGAAACGTTCACAGAAACATTAGCAATGTTACAGGAGGCTTATAGGGACAAAGCACTATCCCCTTACATCAGTTTACGAGTGGTTCGTGAAATTCCGGGACGGTAGAGAATCGCTGGAAGATGACGAGCGCAGCGGGAGGCCGAACGGTCGAAACCGTAGAAAAGATTAGTGTGATCTACTTTTGACTTATTACTTGGGCGTTATGAAGCTGGCAAGAATTGGTCGGGTTCATCCTCGATACCAAGTGCAAGGCAGCTTGGTCGCTTCTGCATGACGATGCTCCGGCAAGTGCACCGCCGGCGTGCAAATTTCGGTCTTAGTCCTTGATCATCCCCCATATTCACCAGATTTGGCACTATGCGACTAATTTTTGTTCCCGAAACTGAAGGGGGAGCCATTATTTTGGACATTCAGGCTATTTCGACCATCCCAAAGGAAGACTTTCAACGGAGTTTTCTAAAGCTGTACGACCGTTGTAAAGATTGTATTTCTCCGAAAGGGATGTATTTGGAATAATTGTAAGTAAAAATTTCTATTACTTTACAGCGTCTGTTTTAATGAAAATTCGGAAACTTTTGGGACAGATCGTGTATAATACGTTGCTCGCACACACGTTCATTCTCGGTTCAACGGCTCGTCGAAGAACAGACTTTATCGCGCATAATTTTCAGATTTCATTTAACGGCTTCGTAAAAAGCGACGCGAGATAAAAGAAGTCTTTCTGCGCGCGCGTCGATGGTAATCGGTCGCGAAAGTGGACATGCGATCGAGCGATCGCCGTTCACCGAGTTAAAACGCAGCGGCGTTCCGCGACTTCGAACAGCAAACGAGCCGAACATCGGCAATCACAGCCGGAATGTAAATCGCGTTAGACGAGGAGTGCGAAGGGTACTAAGTGGGAGGGTAATGTGAGATAGTTGGATAGGTATTGTAGACGCCTGCGTTTTCGATGAAGCAGCTAGAACGGTTTTTCGAAACAAGAAATGCGCGGTAAAATCATTTACAAAACCCGTTGAGGAAAGACAGGATAGATCGATTAGAGGTATATGAAATAAAACGCGATGAAAAAGCGCAGTGTGAAAAATGAAACATGAAAAATGTGTGTGTGAGGAAGGGAGGAGAGAGATGGAGCGGGGATAAAGATGGGTTTGTGTTCATTAGAAACACGAAACGTTTAGAGTAGCGAGAAATTCTTGGTACATCGTGAAGGTGCACAGCGCAACTCCATGACACTTCCAGAGAAAGAAAAAAAAAGAAGAGAGGAAGGGGAGAGGGGGTAGTAAAAGGGGAAGAAAAGAAAGACTATCGATGTATCGGATAGCTTGCGAGATCATTAAAGCTGATAACGACCTCTCGATACAGTGACCTCTCGCGCTCCAGCGGAATTCACGAGTCGAACTTCCCAAACACAAGTCTGCCCCCTCTCCTCCTTCTCGCCGCGCTTTCTCGTATTTTCTGTGAACGACGTCGATGATGTAGCATATACCGGCATCTTTCCGTTTTCACGCGCGTTTATCGTGTCGCCTTCGACAACATTATAACCATTATGAGAGAGAGAGAGAGAGAGAGAGCAATTTATCCCTACAACCGCGTCATTAATCACATGCTAATTAGTAAGCTTCGCGCTACTTACGTTTATGGACGCGCGTATGTGTTTAGCAGAGCCGTCGCTTTCGTGGTGGCGGGAAGGGAGAAAGGAAGCCTCCGAAAGGAGGCGCATTTCCCATTCAATGTGTCTACACATCGGAAAAGTCGTTAATCCCGTCTCACTGTTTCTCGATAACACATTCGCGTTAACGCGACGCACCGTACCACGTCGACTGATCAGTCTGTCGTTGAGACGAAAGGATGGATAATTTCACGTCGGCGTGTGTTCCATTCGGCGGAGATCTCTCCTTTCGTTTTTCCCCAAAAGCTTATCGGCCGTTCTAGAGAGAACGCACTAGTACCGAAAATCCGGATTCGTCGATCATAATGGGCGCAGATAATGGGCACACGCACCATCTCTGGAAAGTTTCTAGCGAAGGCAGCCGTGATACGTGTATCGGATCGGTATTGGGGCGGAACGAAGAGGGTACACACGGACACAGGCACGCATGTATAGGCGCGTATCTAGCTACCTACCTATCTACTTACACACGCACGAGCGTGCGCGCGTGCTCATATGTCCGCGATGGGACGTGACGATAAACATGACGTTTGAAAAGTTCTGCTGCCGTTTTCCGAGATAGGAGCGCAGGAGCGCGATAAAGAATCGGTGGCGGCTGTGATAGCGATAGCGGTGACGGTGGCGTACTTTTCGACGAACGGAGCGAACGAGGCATTAACGAAATTGTTGCGGCGAATCCCCGTTTAGTCCTTCGCCATATCCGCCGCCACTACGCTCGCCATTTACCTCCGCCATCCGCGCGTGTACCGCGTTCCTGAGGTACCGGCCCCGCCATATCGCGGAAGGGTTGATGAAATTGGTGCGCGCTGATTAAATTGTTGCTAGGCGGGAAAGCTGGCGCGCATACATATGTAAGAAATTTCTGGCCCTTCGATGCCCCGATATCGCCTGAGTATTCTTTGTATCCGTCGACGAAAAGAACTCTCCTCGGGGATAATAACACGCTCCTTGGTATTCACCGAGCAGAGCTGCAAAAAAATCAGCCGCAATTAAGCTTTAATGATCTCGCGAAGACCATATATAATCAATATTTTATACTAAATATACGAAAATATGATAAATTTATCAAAATTATTATTATATTGCTACACTATATTTGTTATTTATTGTAATAAATACAATTATAAGAAAGTGGATTACCCGACGTGTCGAGTTTAAAGTCGAAGATATCAAAATATATCAACGTATAGATAAAATTTCAATTAGTTAGTTTCGAATGAAAATTTATTTATAAATTCGTATTGTATACATCAAATATATTCATATTGTATACATAAAATTGATTTATAAATTCATATTATATACGTCAAAATGTATTCTTATATTATTAATGAACTTGTTTCCTATTGTGTTGAAGCGTTTGAGCGTCTTTTTGTCGTTGCGCCGAGTTTACGAAAATTTGACATCCCATCGCTGTATGTACGATCATAGACAACAAATTCGTGCAAAGGGAATCAATCGTGCAGATAATCCGGCCATGAAAGTTCTGAAGAAGTTTCCGCGATTTCAACGAGTAGCAGTTGAGAGCTCATGAATGAATGGGAGTACGCGTGCGGCGAGTCTCTACTACACTTGAAACAACACATTTCTTAGTGGAACAGTAGGATTCCCTCCATCTCTCTCGCCCCGCGAAACTTTCAAATAGTAAAATTGGTAACGACGCGAATGCTCGTAGCAAAACGTGGAAAATTAAAACGGTGGAGGGAACGAAAGATGAGAAAAGGAAAACGAGAGAGCCCGCTCGTGAGATCAATTGATATCAAGTCCGCGGCGTATATCGTGAATTTCTCACGAACGGCGAGTACGTACGTAGGAGAAGACGAAGAGGCTCGCGTGACGACGTCGGGTTAGAGGCAAGATCGCGACGTCGACCATGACGACGACGACGACGAAGAAGACGACGACGACGACGACGTAGCAAGGACGAATCACGAACGTCGGTATTCGAGGTGCGGCACAAAGAGGATAGAGAAGGTTGATGGAAAGGTCGAGCGCGGGGCAGACGAGAGAGGCGGGCAGGGCAGGAGAGGGGGGGAACTAGGGGTCGAGGCGGAGGGTCGCGCGATTAATTCGCAGAACGGCGAAGGATATTCCCGCGGCTGGCCCCATATAAGCCCTCCTGCCTTCCCCACGTTCCCCTGGTGCTGCCACCGCCCCCGCGGCCCCCGCCACGCTTCACTTCGCCGCGGTCTCCCCCCTCGAGCGAGCGCGCGCGCACCACCCTACACACACCGTTCCTCTTCTCATCTCCAGCAGTGTCCGCGGCATTAGGCGTCGATCTACCGAGATACGGAGATCGAGGCAGCGGTGCGCCTCTGGCCTCGTCGATGCCAGGCACGTCTGCCTTTTGGGGCGCTCCGCGGAGCACATATGTAGATCCCGCATATATCTATCGCATACATACTCGGCACATATATACCTAGCAGCCGTGTCGCGTCGCGTGATGATACATACATACCACGCGTACATATATATACTCGTATATACCGCGCGAGAGGTTGTGTGGTATACGTTTTCGCACATACGACTCGGACGACGGCGACGCGGTATATCTAACATAGAACCCGCGTCCCTCTTCGGACCTCCGCGGTATATAACGCGGCTCTGTGTGCGCGCACATACACGCTCCTCTCGGTACCGGGGCGCGCGGTTATATACAGACGGATCACACGACGGTCGGTCGGTCGCCGCGCGCACATAGCGTGGTCCCATGTAAAGGGCGGTAGGACCGCGTAGAGCCGTCGCGTTCTCTCCCTCCCTCCCCTCCCCCCCCCCCC